CAGGAAGAAAAAGAAGCTCTTCTTCCCCTTCCGACTCCAGCCGTAGACGTGCGGCGGGCTTGTTATGGGGAACATGATGCGCTCCTTTTCCCTACAGCTTCCTGCCAGGAAGACAACGAAGCTCTTCCTCCTCTTCAGACTCCAGCGGGAGTGCCGCAGGCCTATGTTCGTTAAGACGATCTTTCCCATTTCTGTAAACCGTTCCGGGCAGGCAAGAAAGCAAGGCTTGCTGTGGTCTCGGAGGCCAGATACGGATGTATATTGTGGCAGCTGCGAAATCACTGCCAAAGCTCGCTGGAAAGCCGTTGAGATTGTTTGGTTCATGCTCTTCGGCTTGACTGCAGCATTGCAGTTGCTTGCATTTTAATCATGTAAATGCATCTAGAAAGTTGGACATTGCAGTACCAAGTGACTTGCAAGACGTGCTTCTTCCGCTTGACTGCAGCATTGCAGTTGCTTGCATTTTAATCATGTAACTGCATCTAGAAAGGTGGACATTGCAGCACCAATTGACTTGTAAGACGAGCTTCTTCGTTGCACGGTTTGAGAAGCAATGAGCCATGTTGTGATTTCAGACGGTTCTGATAGCGACGTCCAGACATTGCGGAAACAACGAAAAGAGTGGACTTCTTTAGATGTGGTTTCAGATATTCCCACACCCAGAGATTTCACGGCGAGGCACTTCCGGCAGCATGTGCAAGAGTGGATTTGCAAGAGTTCAGAACCTGGTAGCAAAACTGGTGGCAAGCCGGTTGGCAAGCTGGGAACGGTGTGGACAGCCAGCGGCCTTCATCGTGTCAATGCTAGATGTGTTGATTGTCAAGAATGTCACCTGGGGCGCGGACGTTTCTATCGGTTTGAGTCCGAGCTTCACGGCGAGAAGTGGCATTTGAAAGTGTTTGTTTCTGGAGAGCCTTGTCTTTGTTATGATGTTGGGTATCTGTTTACGCACAACAAGTGACGCAAAATGCGGTGTGGAGGTTGCGAAACACCAGGTGTGCACAAACGGGTCCAAGAGTCAGGTATACTACAGGTTTAAATCTTGCCAGCCAGGTGCCGGCAATGTTTATACTCCCGAAGCATCATTTTCCCACCCAAGGAAGGCAGTGACACTTCGCGACCTTTAAGGCGGTGTCGTGACAGCAGCAGCCCGCGGAGCGATGCTATGACAGTTCAGGCGAGGTGTCGTGTGCAGTCAGAGGTGCAAGACATGGAAACTGATGAAGAAATCACCCCGACTCGTGTTGCGAAGTCTTTATGCAGCAGCAGCAAGCCAATCACCGTCAAAGCATCGTCATTGCGATACTTCGTCTCGAAGTTCAATCGCTCTCGAACGGTCTCCAAGTCAAAGCCTGTGCCTTCGCGAAAGAGAAAGAAGATTGTGACGTGGCGGGCGGCATGGAAAACGTGCGTGGCGGCTCACCAAGACCGTGCAGCTAGTTTTTGCTTCTTACAGACCCCAACGAGTACTGGTGCTTATGTGGCGATGTTCGGACACTTTTTCTCCCGGTTGGAAGAGCTACATGCCCAGGGCTATATGACGGATCTCATGATAGCAGTTGATTGCACCTGGAATGTGGAAAAGGCCAATAAAGAAATTGGGTACACGCTGGTTTATGCAACGATTTACCGCTGCTTATCAGGTCGTTGGCGCAAAACTGGCTGGCCATTGTTGATTGCCCGCAACATGAGGGAAAATTTCGCTGTGTATAAGTCTCTCTTCGCATGCTTGCAGCAGGAACTTTCTAGACGGCACCTTCCAGAACCCCGCCAATGTCATATGGATTTTTTTCCAGGACTGCCAGAACTCGTGAAGCAGTACTTTCCAAAGTGCATTCCCGTGCAGGGACTAGAGCACTTATTGAGAGCACTGAGACGGTCAAAGCAGATCCAGCACAACGGCAAATACATTCGCGTTCCGAAACTACGAAACCGCGATCCCAAGCACTTGCCAAAATGGCTGCATGCGATAGCTTTGATTCCGATGCTGGAGCCTGCCAAAGTTGTTATCCGAAGTTTTGTGGAGAGAGCGAAGACAGCTTGGTCTGAACCGGTCTGGGGCAAATACTTTGAAAACACATTCCTTCACCGTGGCTTTCAAGCTCGTTGGTGGTACGGAATGGGCTCTGGAAAAGATGCGGGCCACGGCCCGAGTCAACAACAGCCTGAAGCCAGCCACCGTCAACTCAAGAGAACCTTGACGAACAGATGTATTGCATTGCCTGAGATGGTTGATGACATGAAGAAGGCTTCTGCCTTGTGGCTCAGCAGACCAACTGACGAGGATGCTGAGTTCACGCTGCTCGCAAGCGACGGAAACATGGGCTTGCGCCCGCTTCATCCTGACACGTGGATGCTCAGCAGAGAGTCGCACAGGCACAGATGTCAAGAAATTCAGTGTGTTGTCGTGATTATAGTGTCAGGAGTCAGGAGTAGCACCAGTAGTAGTACTGTAGTAGTAGTAGTAGTAGTAGTAGTAGTAGTAGTAGCAGCAGTAGTCGTAGCAGTAGTCGTAGTAGCGGTAGCAGTCGCAGTGTTGCAGCCGCAGGATACACCAAACTGGCGTTGGCACAGTCATCCTTCCTGGCATTTTCCAAATTTTGGATCAGCAAGATGTGATTCTGACCAGGACGCATGTGGAGGCCAAAATCTATTTTATGGCCACGGGTGTACCTCGAACTTTGGATGCAAACCAGGTAGATCTGATGCTCGCCATCCTGAAAGCGAGAACAGCTGATGCTGCCCGCAAAGCCCTCGTCAAGTTGGGCATCTTGCAAGATGACCACAAAATATCGTACACGGCGATCAAATCTCAATTTGCTCTGACAGGAATGCGCCATTTTGAGACAGATGTGTTGCCTGAGTTTCCTCGGGCTGACATGCAGTCGGGCTCTTCGCAAGAAGGTCGTCCCGCAATAAAGAGGAAGAAAAGCAGGAAGTTGTACAGACCAAAGCCTGCGTTGCTGGCTTCTGCTGATGCCCTGCCTGAGCCTCCGCCAAAGCGGTCTCAGCGTGTGCTCAAGCCGCAGAAAGCCAAGCGTTCGGTTTTCAATAGGTAGGCTTGACGTTTGACCAGCCAGGAGCGGCGATGTCCTCAAACATATCAGCACTGTTGCGGAGCCTTGCGGAATTCTGCATCGAAAGTCACACCGCGGGCTTTATTGCGCAGTTTCAAATGTTGGGCATGCTAATCCTAATTGCCTGCAGGCGCAGCAGGTGGAAGGGCCGCCAGACACCTTAGCAAAGGAGTCCGACCGGCTTGCAAGCATTTCCATGGAACAGCCTCTGGGAACGTCACGCTAGACCTCGTAGACCGAGTCTGGTGCTCAAGCCGACAGCAA